ATCCTCCGTTTTCAGCCGCCCGAGTAGCTAGGATTACAAGCATTCAACACCCATTTTTGGTTGTCTTTGATCCAGTTGGCTATATTTATAAAGATCTCTTCCTGGTCTATTTTGATCTATCTTTTTGTCAATAGCCACACTCTAATGTCATAGCTTTGTAGTAAGTCTTGAAGTCAGGTACTATTGTCAGTCCTCTCATTTTGTTTTTATCATTCCATATTGTGTTAGCTGCTTGAGCATTTTGGCTTTCCATATAAATTACAGTCAGTCTGGGATTATGATTGGAATTGATCTGTAGGTCAGGTTGAGAAGAATCAATATCTTAACAATATTTAGCTTTCCTGTCCATGAACATAGGATATCTCTCCATTGATTTCTTTCAACAGAATTTTATAATTTCCCTCATGCAGATTTTGACACATTTTGTTAGGTTTATCCCTAGCTATTTGCTTTCTGGGTACTAATGTGATGTTACTGTGATTTACCTTTCCAAAATAATGGTTTATTGCTAGTATATAAGGCAGCAATGTCTTTTTGTCTAGTAATATTTACGTTTCATTTGCTGTGATAAAGTGTCAGAGAAAAATCAGATCATATGGAGGAAAGATTCATTTTGGTTCAGAGTTTTGGAAGTTTCTGCTCATATTTATTTGGCCCTGTTTCCTTGGGTCTTTATGAAAGAGAATGGTATGGTAGAAAATTAAATTTAAATATCGTAAAATAAGGTGCAGAGATGGAGAAGGGACCTCCTACTCTAGGCAAAGCATCATTTGTATCAAATAATAAAGGATAAGGGCAAAGGTCAAGGGCAAGGACCAAGGTCATTGTCTAGAAAATACTACTTTACTCCTCAGTCTTTCAAGAAACTGGTTTATTGCTTTGATTATCATTCACAAAGGTGTTCAACTTCAGAGTTTATACCCTCAAATTTCAGGCCCTGGGAAGTTCAAATGATTCTTCCCAGAATTAATGATCAGGATTTCCACAGGGTTTAGTATTTTTCCTTGATCTGTGAGAATAAGAGTTATGAGTGTTCTTACTGGCTACAGAGGGTGAGAAATGTTGGGCCCAAAATTGGGGGCTCCTCTGGAGATTAAGATACCCCCTCCCCCACCCCCCAAGCATTTATTTTTATTATTTTATTTATTTTTGGGTCCGGTCATGGGGCCTGACCTCTGGGCCTGGGCGCTGTCCCTCAGCTCTTTAGCTCAAGGCTAGCACTCTACCACTTGAGCCACAGCACCACTGCCGGCTTTTTTCTTTTTGCTTATGTGGTGCTGAGGAATCGAACCCAGGGTCTCAGGCATGCAAGGCAAGTGCTCTACCACTGAGCCACCTTCCCAGCCCTATTTTATTTTATTTTTATTTTACTTTTTGTCGGTAGTGGGCTTGAACTCTGGGCTTGGGCACTGTCCCTGTGCTCTTCAGCTCAAGGTGAGAGCTCTACCGATTGAGCCACAGTACCACTTCCAGTTTTCTAGTGGTTAGTTAGCGATAAGAATCTCATGGACTTTTCTGCCAGGGCTGGCTTTGAACCGTGATCCTCAGATCTCAGCCTCCTCAGTAGCTAGGATTACAGGCATGAGCCACCAGCGCCTGGCTGAGCTTTTTTTTTTTTTTTTGGATGTGTAACGTGTATGTACAGAACAGCCACCTTGCAGCAAAGGAGTCGAACGTTGTTTGAACACAGCCTTTCTGAGGCAATCTGTAACAGTGGCAGCGAACGTGCCAGACTGAAGGGAAGACCCAGACCCTGCTGTCCCCAGCTGTGGGGCCCCGTAGCTCCCCAGTGAGACCTCACAAAAACACCTAGACTAGGTCTGGCTGAGCCTCATTAAAGCAGAAAGAAAGCTTTCCTGTGATTATCTAGTATCTTGGTTTGGTCTCCAGAAAATACACAGCCTTGGAGCCGGAGGGAGGGAGGGAAGGAGGGAGGGAGGGAGGAATAGAGGGAAGGGAGGGAGGG